AGATTGATATCTACCCTTCTGGCCATTATATAGGGCCTGAAGAGAACTTGGCTTTGCCATCTTGCCTATGGATCCTGTAGTGGAGAGGTAGAATCTACTAAATGGCTATGTTGTTAGTAAATTGAATTGCACTCTCACAGATTATGTTCTTATAGTTTTAATAGTTTTTATTATTTTTAATATGCTTAAATGGATTTTGTTGTTCTCTCTCTCTTTCTCTCTCTCTCTGTGTGTGTGTGTTATATTATGCAGCTATATAAATTGAACAAACAAAAAGTAAAACCCACTTCTGCATTTTGGCCAAGAAAACAATGTGGACAGATCCATGTACTCAATGAAAATCAGGCACAATTCAAGGAAGACTTTAGCTTAGTCTAAAAATGAAGTATTTAGATTACAAAATGGAGTAATATTGAAAAATGAATTGTTGGATTATACCTGTATATATTAAATTTTATATTTCATTACATGGAGAATTCATTCATTATGGGTATACATTACTGATTGTCTACACCGATCATAAGAACTGTTAAACTATCTCTATGTTAAAATTAGGAAATGTGTGCAAATCCATATTGAGTAAATTTATAATTAATACTGTGACTTGTTTTAAACAATCTTTATTAAGATTTGTGAAGCATCTCTATCTAGCCTTCTGAAAGTTGGGAAAACTTAGCATCCAAACACCTCTTTTCCTGATCCTTTTATTCACATTGCACAAAACACAGATATTCAAACTAGCCCTAGGCAAACTTGAATATGATAAAGGATGTGTACAGATATTATCATGTTACTACACTTTATTCGTTGATGAGTTGAGTAGTTTATCAGCTTTATAAATCTGCTGAAAGGCAGCGTATTTGACTATGCCACAATTTATTAAGGAGAGTTCATTGCTAGACAGGTAGAGAGTAATTATCTCCAAATACTTTACAACCTCTTAATGGTTCACAGTAGTGCCATATAAATGCTACTCAGATATAACTTGACGTGAGAAGTAGATTAACTAGGAGTTCAATCCAGAAATAGTCCAGCCACATTTCAAAGGCTACAGTTCCCAGCTGCCTGATACAAATGAAGATTGTTTATTAAATTTATAAGCTACCCATCCCACATTGCAAAGCGACTTTTGATGGCTTACAATCAAAATCATAAATATATTTTAAAACATTAGATACAAAGATAAAAAACAAAAGCCAAGTTTGGTATAGTGCTGGCATCTTCCCTGTTGACCCACCAGCCAACCTCTAACATAGAGTACCCCTATCAATACCCCAAGACAACTGGTGTAGCCAGGTTTTGACGTACTCCCAAAGACCAAAACAGTGGGGGCCAACTTCACCTCAGGCAGTAAAATATTTCAAAGAGCTGGGGCCATGGCAGAAAAGGCTCTCCTTTTACCACCAGCTGAAATTCTTTGACTGACAGGGCCTGCAACATACCCTGCTTCTACTGAGCAGGGATCAGTAAGGCAGGCTGCTCAATTGGGATGAGATGGTTCCTCAGATAAGCTGATTCCATACCATGAAGGGTTTTAAAGGTGATAACCAACAAATGAAGGCAAATATAGGTGTTGTTGTGGTAACCAACATTTTGAATTGGACTTGGAAGCCAACCAGTTATAGATAATCCTCAACGTATGATCACAATTGAGCCCAAAATTTATGTTGCTAAGTGAGAAATTCGTTAAGTGAGTTTTGCACCATTTTATGACTTTTCTTGCCACATTTGTTAAGTGAATCACTGCAGTTTGTAAATTGTTAAATGAATCTAGTTTCCCCATTGACTTAGCTTATCAGAAGGTCACAAAAGAGAATCACATGACTCTGAGACACTGCAATCATCATAAATGTGAGTCAGTTGTCAAACATCCAAATGAAAATCAGGTAACCATAGGGATGCTGCAAAAGTCGTATGTGTGAAAAATGACCATAAGTCACTTTTTTCAATGCTATTGTAACAAACACAAAATGAACTGTTGTAAGTTGAGGACTACCTGTAGTTTATGTGCACCATCCTAGTTTATAATTTAGAAAGCACCATATAAAATTAAAATACTACCTTTCAGAAATCTTTTAGCAGACACCTAGAAGCTGTCACAGTTACATGTGATATAGCGGCACTTTAAAATAAAAAAATGAACAAAAGCAAAGATTTACCAAATCTCTAGAAATCTTTAAAAGGGGAGAAAGTATTCCAAGAAAGATTCCCATTAAAAGGATTTTAAAAAATAAAATAAAACTCAGCTGTGTTAAAATGACATTGGCATATGGTAAGAAGTGTCAGTGTTTACAATCCTGAGGCATGTTTTCACTAAAATTATTGTTATACATTTCATATAATTAGATCAAAAACAAATTACTGCAGCCTAAAGAAAGATGGGCTACAGATAAGAGCAAAAGTGAAAAGGGAGGTAGGGTGGGGAAGGAAATCACATACTTTAATTATTTATATTGCTTGCAGCATTTTGTGCTCCACTGCACTTTATTATACAAGGCAACAGATTCAGATTTTTTTTTTTAAAGAATGGTAAGGAATTCAAGGTTTGTTTGTTTTTAAAGGACATTCACAGTTGTGTATTCTGCAATTGGTTTATACTCTAATCATCAAAGGATGATGAGAGTTTTAAAAAAGCAAACAATACCTAGAAAGTTTTCCCCAAAAAAGCTGTAGACAGTACCCTGACTTTCAAAACCAATTTGGGAGTATAATAGCACTTAGCAATAGCACTTAGACTTATATACCGCTTTATAGTGCTTTACAGCCCTCTCTAATGCTAAAGTTTTTTAAATAGGAAACTGAGTTAGTGTACATTTATTTTGGAAATGGGGAAATCCTTGAGATCTATCTTTAAGAGCCATACAGAAATCTAGTCAAAAGGAAATGATCAAGAAAAAAATCTGTGGAGGGTATGTTTTGGAGCAGAAAACTTTTTTTAACTGAAATATTTAATTTAAATCAAAGATTTAATTAATAATAACAATTCATTAAATTTATATACCACTTGACTCCCACCATCTCTGGGCAGTTTACATTTAACATTTTTGCAGGCCTAATCTCATTGTTAATCTTAAAACAGTGAACTCTGTTCTTCCATATATTTAGATTTTACCCATGGGAAGATTTTATTGTTTCCCTAAAGTTGTCTATATAACAGTATATACAACTGTACCTACCCACATATTTACAGGAAAACTGGAGAAGACTGATTCAGTATTTTGGCACACAAAGGTACTTAACTGCATGTTATCTCTTTTCATAATCAACCAAATAGTCTTTTTTCCATGCAATAATGAACTACTTTTTCCTCATACAACCTGCTGTTCAGAAATCCCAAGAACGAAGAATAATTTAATTTGTGGTTTGACTTCAAATTTTGAAGATACCTGAAAGCATGAACCAACCTCTTTTCTTTAGCAGAATTACTGTCCATACCATGGCAGTGAATTCTGCTGTATTAACTCAAAGAAAATCCCTCTAGACCAGGGGTGTCAAACTGGTGGCCCACGGGCTGGATGCGTCACATGCAGGGCACGCCCAACCCAGCTCGGTGAATGGGGAAAATGTAGCGAAGTGTCACATGACAGCAATGTGATGCCGCGAGTTTGACACCCATGCTCCAGTCCATAGTCTCACAAAAATACCAAAATACACAATTTGATTTGCTGATATCTTGATTGGAAAAATGTAGCATACAATATCTAATTACATGTAATATGTTGTTTAAGAATTTTCTCCTTCAGTTAATTTATGAATCCTAATTTTATAACATTTAAACTGACCCGGTATCTGTCTTTTTACTTAAAGTAAAGAAGTTTTCTGAACTTATTCTTTTTAAAGAAGAAATTAACTCTGTTACATTTTTTTTTGTTTATATCAGGATACTGGGATTATTTTGTATTTACAAAATGTGGATTTGTTTATAGTTTAAAGCTGAAATATGGGGTGTTTACTTGAAAGGTGCTATTTGGGGTGATTTTCTTTGGAATTGGCATTTGGAAATTAAAAAATGTTGTATATTAGAACTTGCCTTTTTAATGAACAAATGGTCTATGTTATTGTTAAACTTTAGTTTAGGGGGGCTTTTTACACTAGAATATTGAGACCATTCTATGATTTTTAAATGGGTTTGCCTTACACTAAGAATTGACATATGAAATGATGAGTTTTATATATATTAAATAATATTTCTTTCTTTCTTTCTTTCTTTCATTCATTCATTCATTCATTCATTCCCTGCCTTTATTACTTTTACAAATAACTCAAAGCAGAGGAGATATCCCGTAGGCCTTCTTTCTCATATTTCCCCACAAAAGCAACTCTGAAGTGAGCTGGGCTGAGAGAGAGTAAGTGGCCCAAGATCATCTACCGTAGTTGGCTTTCATGGCTTAAGGCAGAACCTGAAGTCCCAGTCTCTTGTTTTCTACCTGGTGCCTTAACCATTAGACCAAAGTGACTCTTTTAGAGTTCTGTTTAGACGTTCGCTGATAATTGAATTGGAGAAGACTTTAATTATTTGATTTTCCCATTGTTAAGAAATGGATTATTAAATGATGAGTTTTATATTTGTTAATTAAGAGGAGGTAAAGAGATTATGAAATTGTTTGTACTTTGTGATGTTGGTGGAAAGATCCTTTCTAGGAAGGGTGATATTTTTATTTATTTATTTAGTTGCTTTCTTGCAATGTTTCTTCTTTCCTTTTTTTGTTTTTTGTTTGTATTACATTTTAATGTTGTATCTAAAACAAAGAAAGCCACCACCACCCATATCCAAAGCAAGCAAAAAAAAATCACTCAAGAATGATAGGGACAGAAGCTGACAGCCCTTAATATGTGGTATACATCAACGCTCCTGGCAGAATTGCCCATTGGAGATCTTTGTTTAAAACATCATAAAAATTACATTATTGCTTGTCAAATGAAGCAAAACACTGGATGTCATCCTGCATAAAAATGGCAGACCTCTGTCATCCCAACAGCTGGCAAGTTGCTCTACTCACCAAATACAAACTCCTCTTGCTCCATTTCTTCCTTCAGTTTCTTGTAACGTTCTTTTGTTCTCTCTAACTTTTGGATACTTTTGGCATTCAGAGTTGACCATTCATTGAGCAGCCCTTTCAGGCGGTCTCTTTCAGCTGTTAGCGATTGAATTTCTTCTGCAAGATCTTTAGCGGTACAGAAATTACCTCCTGTGCATTCAATAGATAAGATTAGGAAGAGTTGAAGACAGGGAAGAAACAAAACCTTGACTTTTTTAAATACACAAAAACTAAAGAGCCACATACAAGCTGAGAAATGAGCATATATTTAATGTATTCATTGTTGTTTTTATTTTCTCAATGTGGTTGACAATCAATTAAAATATAAAGGTAAACAGTTGTTATTATGGTTGGTTGCACAATCAGCTAGCTGTTTAACCTGATAGGGCATTTTTATTCACCTATCAAGTCATTCCCAAGGACCTGGGATAAGCAAATATTCTTGTTTGATGGTGTTGAAGGAAGGATCTGTTGAAGTGCAATGCATCATTATTTGATTCAAATACATTATAAAAGCATATACTAACATGTTGACTCACGAAACTGGGGAAATTCAGAATATAAACTCTTCATATTAGGAAGGATTATGCCATGATAAGAGAATCCAAATTGAAGTCTAAATCATAATTAGAGGGGGTCACTCCTGATGCTAGACCTTTCACTCTCCGACTTAATCTCTCTCTCTACCATCAGGCAAAATGTCAGGCATGAAAGACCAGGTTCACACATGAAGGTTCCAATTAAAATGATTTATTGATAAACAGCCTAACCACAGGAATCTTCTCAGCTAATGGTAAGTACTTGCTTGGAGATAGTGGGATCAGGTGATAAAATTATCCAATTAAAAGATTCTGATATACTTATATTTCATCTCACAAATGATCAAAGATACAGATCATATTACTAGATTCCATTTCACAATTTTATATGGATAATATGCTGATGGACCTCAATGGATGCAGATGTGGTAAGAATATTAGAATAGGACAAAGGAGACCCAGGTTTAATCCTATATTTGGCCACAGAAGTTATTTGGAGAGTATTCAAGAAGTTACTACCTCTCTGATATGGGATTTGTTTTATCAATGGTTGGACAAAAAGACATGGTAATGTAATAGTAGATAATTTTGTAATAGAAGTTTAATAGATTGATATAGACGTATATAACCATTGGATGAAAGTATAATATACATCTTAAAACAAAATTTGGAATATCTCGTATAAAATTATGGAATAAATACTTTAGTCATGGATGATTAATAACTGATAATTATATAAGCATATGTTAGTTTGACAATGTGAAAATTTATATAAACTGTGAGTAATGACTATGAAAGGATAGCACAAAAGATTTGTAACCAACTGACATACTGTATGTATATAAAATGGAAGATGGCTTTATGTTTTTATATTTTGTTTGTATATGTTTGTCTTAAAAAATAAAAACTTAAAAAAAGAAGTTACTATCTCTCACTATGAGCTGTCTTAAACTACTGTGCTCAGGGGCACAGGCAGAGTTTTGGTATGCCACCTTCAATTCCTGGAGGAAAGATGGATGCATGTAATGATTAACAACTGCAATAAGTCTTTTTAATTGATTGATTGACTGATTGAGTACCATCAAATTGTTTTTGATTCCTAGTCACCACATAGATATATTGTCTCCATGACAATCTACCCTTAACCTGTAATACAATGATAACACAATATTTAAAATAATAAATAAATAATCTTAATAAATTAGCAGCACAGTGGCTCGCATGGTTAGGACCGGCTTAACAAGCAACCAATCTGCATTTGAGACCCAAATGCTGCCATAGATGAGGTACTATCCTTTGGTCCAGCTCCTGAAGCAGTGATGTCACCAGCTAATACTTTCCACCTGGAAGCACCTTGATGTTTCTGACACAAGTGTGATGTGATCTTAATAAATTAATTCATAATTTTATTTTTTAATAATGATTTAATAATAAATCATTCATTCATTAAAATAACAATAAATGCTCCACAATAAATCTCAGCCACCATAGTATCTTATCAGGGATGTCAGATATTGCACTGCAATAACATTTGGATAGCCATGGCACAACCCTTCTAAATTGGACTTAATTTTCTTAACCAAGAAAATCTGTTACCATCTATTGCTGTGTTTATTCCTTCATTATTCTCAAAATCAAAATTCTGTAATTAGAAGTCGTTCTATTTTGTTTTGAAAGGTCAGGGAGAAGATACTCCCCTCATTATTAAAGTTTTATGCTTACTGAATGATTATTAATTCCCAGAAGGAAACTTAATATCAAGACTTGAAGCACTGATGAAATACGCCCCATATCCCAGTTAATAATTTATAAGCCTTTCTGCCTCTAATATATGCTCTGGAGACAAATCTGTCTTTGTTTGCTTTTCTTATTATTTTACTTCATGGCAGCAAGAAATGTGACTTCAATTCTGAGGTGAAATATCAAAAACTCATCAAGAAATGATCAAGTCACTCTCTTAAAGTGCCAGTAGTGAACTCCTGACTTCTATCACAGTAACAAAAAATGGCACGTTGTTAAAAACCACGAGGACTCTTTTTCTAAACATATCTGCGTAAATCTGCCCCAGTGATAGAAAACACCAAATGATAAGGCATTCTAATCTTATTTGTTTTAAAAGACTAAGTAAACATTCCTCTGAAAAATAGTTAATGTAATTTAATTAATACAATTCTTTATTTTTCTTTTGAGACTTATGTTTCATTGAAACAGCACATTGTAATGGTTTCATTGCTTGACTTCCTGGTTTCATCACCTCCATATACTTGTCAGGTCTTATTAAGCAAGCATCCCAGCCTTTCTGACACTTGAAAAGCTAAGAGGGGAAAATGGTTGATAGCGTCCAGAATGATTTTGTTCATTTGTTGAGAATCAGGTGGCAAGTTTAACAAATTATGGTTGGTCACACAGTCAACATAATGTTACGATTGGATTTTGTATTTTTATCCACATATTGAGTGCTTCCCAAGGATCTGGGAGAGGAAGATGTTGTTGTTTGATGGTGTTAAAGGTATCAGGATGAAAGATGCTCTCCAATAAAACTTACCTTTTGCAATTGATAGGTGGTAATTTTTTCAGTGCCAATGGTATTCAAGTCGTGCTTCAATTCTTTGGGGATTGTACCCAAGACGTCTATATTACTACTGTCTTTACTTCCGATTGCCATAGTCATTCTACCTCCGTTTGTAGGTCTTTGTATTTTGTAATTTTCTCCAGTTCTATTCTGCTGTTTCCAGGAATTGCAACATCCAGTATTCATACTTTTTTATCTTTCTTATCAACAGCTATTAATATGTTATATGTCAGGTGCCTGCTTGAATTCTAAAGTTTCAGAGCACTTAAAGAGTCATCATTTTCTATTATTTTGTCTGTTTTGTGGTCCTACCATTTCTTGCTTGCAGGCAAATGGTATGTCTTGCTGATATTCCAATGCATCATCATTGCTATTTTGTTATGCTGTTGTTTGTAGTCAGTCTGTGTTCAGGCAATGAACATTGGTACCATTTTTGCATTCTTTTGACACAGTCATTGTACTTCTATTTCTACTTACAGATTTTTATATTTTTAAATTTTTGGAATGTTCACTAGACTTGATATGTTAAGAATTAAGTAGCATTGGCCTAACCCCATGCTAGTACAGTGATTGATTCCCTGATTTGAGAAGGATTTAAATGCTCATATCCTTCCTTGTTCCTCTTTTGACTTCTTTGCTCCCAGTAATTCTGAGGACACATAGCAATAGCAATAGCAATAGCACTTAGGCTTATATACCGCTTCACAGTCCTCTCTAAGCGGTTCACAGAGTCAGCATATTGCCCCCAACAATCTGGGTCTTCATTTTACCCACCTTGGAAGGGTGGAAGGCTGAGTCAACCTTGAGCCTGATGAGATTCAAACTGCCAAATTGTAGGCAGCTGGCAGTCAGCAGAAGTAGCCTGCAGTACTGCATTCTAACCACTGCAGCTCTAAAAGTATCTCTAAAAGTACATTCTGAGCCTGGTTAGTAGAAAAACTCTCAGCTAAAAAGGGGATTTCTAAGAGGAAAAGTGACTTGGACATCTTTCAATCACATTTCAGTCAGTATGTCTTTGAGTTAAAATGTACTATAATATGTCTGCGTCTTTAAATAGATATTATAAAGAGGGACTAATTTGTAGGGGTTTTTACAGATTTCTCTATTTATATTCTTTTAATAAATTTATAAGCCACCTCAGTCAGTGAAGTCTATCTAAGATTATGTGTAACCAATTCATAAACACATTTTAAAATCAAATGCCTACCAAATAAACTGTAAGAACACCAAAATTACATTAAAAGTCATAAATGTAAAGGCTACAGATAAAAGAGAGAGGAAAGAGAAGATAGACAGATCTTCTGAAGATGAATAATATTCATTGCAATAGTAGTATTTATGATCTAAAGGAGAAACTGCCAACCCTTTTGTTCCATAAAAAAGTGCAGTTTAAGTCAAATACATCTTAATTCTTGCATTCTTTATTTTCATTTACCAAAAAAAAACCCAACAACAACCCATGGTGACTTAAGGAATTTGTTCCTGACTTCTTTTAAAATTTTAGTTCTGGTAAAGGATTCTCTGTCATGAAACATTTTAGCATCCTTTCTATTCCATCAATAATTACCTGATGCAGCAAGCATTTTTGTTTTGAGAAGAGCTGAAAGTTGAATCTCAATGTGTCTCTCTTTCTTCCTTAAAGTACTGCAGAGCGTCTGATTAGTACATACCTATATGGAGACAGGCAGCCTTGATATGGATTTCATTCATATAAAAATATTAGGAAACACAAAGGCATGTCAGGTTGTCTTGGTTACAAGACATGCATCATTTCAATACGACAATCAAGAGGAATAGAAAATAATGTGCAACTTTGCTGCAAATAGTACCCCACAGTGGGTACAGCTTTTCAACATAAACTGCACTTCTGGGTATTAGCAATGAGCAAAACAGGGAAAAAAGAATCACAAAAAAAGCAGAGGAGCAGTTACTGTGGGATCATATTTCAAACCAAAGGCCAAAATCACTGCAAATGTCTGAATTTTCTGCAAATATCTTGTTAATTGTCAGGAACTGCTGAATGGAATGTATTGCACTTCAGAGCCAAAGTCAAAAGGCTCTCCAGAAAAACCACTGATGTGCTCCAAGCAATATCTATTTCAGATGTATAATTTCCTAGAATCACATAGTTACTATGCAAGTCATAAAGCCTTTTCACAAAGCCCTTTCAGGTACACATCTAATCCTGTTCCTATAGGCATGAATTCAAAGCACATGGCATCCCTGGTTTTGGAATATAAATATAAATAAAAGACTTGAACCAGATGAACAGCTTTGCCCTATTCTTTCCTTTCATGCCATGATAGAACTACTGGAATAGTGTCTCGTTTCAAAACATATTGGGCAAAGCTGTGACAGTTTATAGTTCTTAAAATAGAGTCCATATTTCTTATTGGTGCAAATCTTTGTTGATCAAGAAGGCAGCTAAATTCAGATGGTCCCGAGGAAGTAGTGTAAAGTGCTTTTATAGTTAAAAATTACTGCAAGTGGCTCAGTGCTTATCAGTTTGAAATTAAAATGCAGCCACCCAAAATCAGACAATATCAGAACCACCATTTGATAGAACAAATGGCCTTTCAAAAGAAGAACAAAATTGTCTGCTATAACATCTTGCCTGTCAACAACTTCTTCAGCTTCAACCACAATAATACACGGGCAAACTACCGATACAAACTCAAGGTAAACCGTTCCAAACTCAATTGCATAAAATATGACTTCAGCAACAGAGTGGTCAACGCCTGGAACGCCCTACCCCAGGGGTCCCCAACCACCGGTCCCTGGACCGGGACCGGTCCGTGGATCATTTTTTACCGGGCCGCAAAGCTTGGGCGCCGCCATCTTGTTTCAACGGCGCTTCCGGGTTTTCGGTTGCTTCCGGGTTTTCGGTTGGAAAGTGCTTCCGGGTTTTCAGTTGGAAAGCGGTGTTTGGGTGCTCGCGCCTTAGTTTCGTCGAAGGAGGGGCGGCTTCGAACGAAGAGCCGTCCCGATGGCGGTGGAGTCTCGCATTACTCAGGTACCGGTCCGTGGAAGAATAAATAATCATGAAACCAGTCCCTGGTTCAAAAAAGGTTGGGGGCCACTGCCCTACCTGACTCTGTTGTTACAGCCTCAACCCTTCACAGCTTCAACCTCAAACTATCTACCGTGGACCATACCCCATTCTCAAGAGGTCCTTGAAGGGGGCATGGATAAGCGCATCAGCATGCCTACTGTCCCCATTTATCTGTATTTACTTCCCTCATTCTTGTTTATGTTCATACTTATACTTGTTATCTTGTACATGTTTGACAAACAAATAAAATAAAGATTGTGACTCTCTGTATCCCAGGGTCATATGTTCCTAACATGGGGCTTGTGACAAAGAAAGTGTACTTCTGAATCCTCACTTGTTTCAATTCATGAAGGGTGGAAAACTTCAGCAGCCTGTCTCAGATCAAGATGAGACCAGCAAGAGAGAAAGTTCAAGTACCAAGGAATGTGGGATTTCACAGGTTAAAACCAAAATCTTGTTGCAGAATACCTTATGCCGCCAGACTTGAAATTCTAGACCTAGAAAATCTAGAACTACGCTGCCTTTGGTCCGATCTAAGTATAGTATATAAAATTATACATTGCAATGTCCTACCTGTCAATGAATACTTCAATTTCAACCATAACAATACAAGAGCACACAATAGATGCTCAAGTTTGGTGGGGATTACTCAAGGTAAACTTCACCAAACTTGATTGCAGGAAATACGACTTCAGCAACAGAATGGGCAATGTCTGGAATACTCTACGTGACTCTGTGGTTTCTTCCCCAAACCCCGAAAACTTTAACCTTAGACTGTCTACTATTGACCTCACCCCTTTCCTAAGAGGTCTGTAGGGGGCGTGCATAAGCGCAGCAACGTGCCTACCATCCCTGTCCTATTGTTTCTTTTTTATTTTTTTTTATTTTTCTTATATGTATCCATTTCATGTATCCATAACTATGTTTATACTTATATCTATTATTTTGTAAGCAATTGACAAATCAAATCAAATCAATCAATAAAAAATAAATAAATCTTGGACTGGACCTGAAATCTGGCTGACAACCATCACAATGACCCAAAGACATGCATGACCTACTAGACCCTTTCCAGTTAGTAGATGCATGGTTGCATCTTATTATCAATTGCAGCTTACTCAAGGGCAGCCTGATGTAAAACACATTGCAGTAATTTAAATTCAAATCACCAAATTTGATATTCAAAATAAGAACCTGCTAGGCCTTGCTTAAGGCATATTGGTGTCTTTCACTTAATATACTGCAACTCACTGACTCATTAATACTGGGGAAAACAACAGTTTGTACTTACTTCAGCAGCCATTTCTGTCATAGATATATTAAGGGTCTGTATTTTTTCTTGAAGCCTAGAAATAACAAATTAGCATTAAAATCTGGTATTATTTGTTAATCCATCAGACACATATTCAGAACCACCAGCAACTTCAGCTAAACCTATTAAACATAACAAGTGTATCTGATTACCTGCAACCTTCAAAACTTGGCATTATTGACAAGTTTTGGTCACTGCAGATCTGGTGATTTTCTGATAGATCAAGGGTAACAAGCAGGCCCCTCAGACCATACAAACCGCAAGATTCAGAGTCAGAAGCTGATGAACCAGATACATCTATACTTTCACACATGTCCATAGCCACAAAGCCCCTCTCCTGTCTCTCCCCAAAAAGACACTCCTGATCATGAGCTTCTGCTGTCCCAGGAACCCAATCAATGGTGATCAAGTTATCAATTATCAGGTGATTGATGGTTTGGTAGAGTTAAGATTATTTTGTTTCTTGTCATTAACGTCAGCAAAAAAAAATATGGGGATGACTTTCTCATTAGTCAGGCTAATTACGTTGTCAACAGGAAAAGTCTCCCCAGTAATAAGAGCTGCACTTTTTCTGATCAAGTGATATGGCAGCCCTTTGGTTGCAGCTTGCCTACCAAGAAAGTAGTCTTGCAAGGTACTTCAAGCAAGAAGCACACCAAGAAATATTAGCTCTAACTTTATTGTAAGATTGTACTACTCTAACAGAACCTTGTAAGTCTATCTCCTCTCTTGCTTCTGCAGTCCAAGAAGCCAACTTGGTCTAGTGCAGTGGTTCCCAACCTTTTTTTTGCCCCGCACCCCTAAAGAAATTTCACTCAAACCTCGCACCCCCTGAAATGTATATTTTGCTCAGTTAAGTTAATCCATTGCAAAAGAAAATAAAAATGCCAACATATAGCCAATATCCTATTATTTACCTGGACTTTTCTCGCCCCCCCCCCCCTGGAATATCGTCTCGCACCTCCAGGGGGTGTGAGCACCCCAGGTTGGGAACCCTTGGTCTAGTGGTTAAGCCACTAGGCTAGAAAATGGGAGAATATGAATTGAAATCCCACTTTAGTCATGAAAGCCAACTGGGTGACTTTGGGCCAGTCATACTGTCTCAGCCCAATTCACCTCACAGGATTGTTGTTGTTGTGGGGGAAAACAGGAGGAGGAAGATGTGCTGGAGATGTTCAAATAATAGTGCAAATAATAGTTCACATATCATTCTTCTAGTCAAATCTATGGGTGTATTATTGTTTGTTATTCTATATACCCTTTTCTCTTACTCTTGTTTGGAGCTGGATGGTTTTCTCTAGAAAACTTGTTGAGATCTAAATATTTGTGGCTATTAAATCGATACAGGATTTGCAGAGAATATTTTTCTTAGGTCTTGTGCATATTGTGCTGTTTGAAAATTATCAGTTCCCTATGGGAAGTATCCATGCTGGTCTAATTATTTCACAGTGTGACAAATCAGGTATGCAAGTCATGTATCAAAGTCACTAAATCCAACTAAAAATAGAGCATCCAACAATTGAACACACGGAGCTGGGAGGGTAGGGGCTTAAAGACACTTAATAGTGTACCACTTGATGGAAAATACAGTGGCTTCAAAGGAAAAGCAAAGCAGTCAACGTTACTATGCTTCAACATGAATTAGCCAAAAAAAAAAAAAAAATCAGAAATGAGCACATCTCAAGGACAAGTTAATAGAAAAGCTCTGTTAAACAAAAAGAGAGAAATGAGAGCAAGCTATCAAGGAAAACAATTGCCAGAGTGCTCCTGCAGAAAAAGAAAGCTACAAAAATCGAATACAGCTCTAACTAGCAGTCCCAAATGTCACCTGAATATTCCAAACATATAAATGACCAAGCAATGTTTGGATTAGAAATACGTATCACTGCAACTCTAGCAATATGGAGAAGACATTCTTTTCTTGTTTGGAGCTTATTACCTTTTAAAAAATGAAACCTAAGACATAAAAATATAACTCAAAGTGTCTGGATGGGCCAAACATCATATCTCCATAGTCTTCAGGTACCAAATCCAGGGGTGGGTTTCTACCGGTTCCGTCCACCTCTGTAGAACTGGTAGCTCTGAAGAGCAGCAGACATAGAACCGGTTCTACGTCTGCTGATGTTTTTGCGCACCCGCCCACCCAGGCTGTTACCTGATCTTTATTTCCTGATTTTTCAACTTCAGCTGCTGAACGAGGCACAGCTGCAGTTTAAAAAGCAGGAAAAGAGGGCTGTTTCAAAGGCCGCTTCTCTGCACACAGCATGCTGATGACAATTTAGAGGCACTTGGCTCTCAGTGTGAAGGGAAGCTCATAAATCCCAAACCCTGTCATATCCCACCCCTGACCAAATCTACATATGATATATGAAATTGGACTAAAAAGGAGGTTGTGGGAAGGGCTCCAATAGAATTTCATTTTCAGGTTTTAAGGTGTTTCTAGCAGGACCACCAGATTCTTCAGCAGCTTTGTTCCCTATGTCTGGTAAACTTGCAAGATTTGGTGGTTTTTGCCATGTACACTTATACATCCAAACCAGACTGTCTCGTTTCTCTGTGTCATATAATATACGTAAGTATGTGCATTATTTATTTATTTATATTTTTAACATATTTAGGTAGTGTATACTGGAGGTGATGACACTTTGAGAGCTGTATGCAACGAAATTTCATTTTAATGTATGCCAATTAGTGTACATTTAAAGTTACAATAAAGTTATTCTTAGTCTATTCTAAATCTCTAAGTCTATTGTATTTATTTATTGAATTTCTTTGTGCTCACTCTGTAACTCTGCACATTTTACCAGATGCTTTGTGTGTGCAGCTCAATTAGGGGAAAAGTGAAATAACAATACCTTCCTCCATACACATAATATATGGGCCATTTCAAAATTAAACCAAATCTTCTTTACCACAAGAAGTTTGCAAGGTGCAGGAAGCCATATTAAGATTGCACTCTCATCCCAAAGACATAGAATAATGGATTAATGCTATAGGAAAACAAATTCTAATTGCATGTTTCTTTAAAAAAAACATTTTTTAAAAAAATGCAAGTAGTCTCCTCTTAACAACAATAATTGCAATTGGAATTTTTATTGCCAAGCGATGAGGTCATAAAATGAGAGGTCGAGTGACTGCATTCCTTAGTGACAGCAATTCTGGCAGTTCCCATTGTCATCATTAAGCAAGAATCAATATCACTAAGTGAGAACCTCCTTGTAACTTCCCACTGGCTTCCAGCAAATAAAGTCAATTGAAAAACCATTCACAAGCAGGCAGTTTGCAAGCAGGCCAGCAGTCAGATAAATGGCTTGCTGCAGTACAATGCAAACATGATGGGGCTTAGAGTGACTGCTGCCAGATGAGGGATGATATACAGATGGCTGCCTCTTTGTGATCTCCATAGCCAGGATCCTTGGGGTGGGAGGGAGCCACTAGAGTGTAACAACTTAAAGGAGCCCCTTGCAACAGTACCTGCAAGCTTCCCCATTAAATTTGCATATAGCAATAGCATTTAGACATATACCGCTTCACAGTGCTTTACAGCCCTCTCTAAGCGGTTTACAGAATTAGCATGTTGCCCCCAACAATCTGGCTCCTCATTGTACTGACCTCAGAAAGATGGAAGGTTGAGTCAATCTTGAGCTGGTCAGGATCGAACTGCTGGCAGTCGGCAGAATTAGCCTGCAATACTACACTGTGCCACCATGGCTTATGGGAAACTGGCAAGGAAAGGTCACAAATGACAATCACATGGCCACAGGATGCTGCAACCATCCTAAGTGCAAGCTGGTTGCCAAACAGCCAGATCACAGTGATGTGACCACAGTCCTGTTGGGATGGCTGGAATTTTGAGGACCGGTCATAAGTACCACTCATTCAGCTTTGTTAATTTTCACTGAATATGAGAGGTCATTAACCAATAGCAGTTTGATGATAGAAGCAGTTTCCCAGAGATGTGGTGGGCAAGTTTTCACTCCATGGGTTCAAGAGAAGACTAGACAGATATTTATCTGGGATAATTTAATTTGGGTCACAATACTGAGCAGGGGATTTGATTCATTGGCTTAACAGGCCCTTCTAACTCTAGAATTCTACTATTCTAATAAATGAATGATTTCTTGGTGTTATCAGTAAAGGAAACTCAAATCCAGATAAAACATGATATTAATATTACTCTGATACATACAGTAATTTTCTAAGAACTGGAATATAAAATTAAAGATTATGTTTCCTTATATATGTTTTTTCATTAAAAGTAGAATAATACAATGAAAAATAAGAGGCAAAAGAATAAAGCAGATTTTCATCAAAATAATAATCATCCACAAAATGAATACCTTTTGACAGAGTCTGGAAAATCCAACCTGTGTGGAATTTTATCAGAGGCTACCAAAATATCAGCCAAGGCTTTGCCAGTTGTCTGCAGTTCTTTGAGTGACACCCAGCTGAACAAAGCAGACAGTTCATTATCTTGCTCTTGAATATGGCGGTCTTGTTCTTGAATTTCTATCCTTAACTGTTGATCTTTAGCTTCCAGAACAGCCAGCTTTGCTCTAACGACTTCAATTTCTTTCTGCACAGAGATGGATACTGTCAACTTATTTTCCAAATCATCAGAAGGCAAGACAAGAAACAATGAATGGAAACTAATCAAGGAGAGAAGCAACCTAGAACTAAGGAGAAACTTGTTAATAGTGAGGACAATTAACCAGTGGGACAGCTTGCCTTCAGAAGTTGTAGGTGCTTCATCACTGGAAATTTTTAAGAAAAGACTGGGCAGCCACCTATCTGAAATGGTATAGGGTATCCTGCTTGATCAGGGGGTTGGACTAGCGGACCTCCAAGGTCCCTTCTGATTTATTGTATAACTTTAACAAAGAAAAACTGATCAATGAATAATACAAAATATGTAAGAGAAACTGAAATCCTTTTCATATATACTTGAGTTATATGACCATATTGCTGTCCTGTATGCCTGGAAAGAATTTATAGATCAGGCCAATCAATCAAATCAGCCCTCTTCACCTGAAGGGCAATATGTACTGAGACAAAAATCCCATAATAAAATCATGCTTTTAAAATGTCCAGATTCATCATTGAGCCAAGGTTTTCATAAATGATTCAACATCCCTTTAAAAGGCCAAAGTTTCACATTTGCTGATTGGTTTAACACGGCTGGGTATAGTTAACATATGCAAAATCCACTAATTTTTGAGTTTGTGCGTGTGGCCTACATTTTTTAGGACTGAATAACAGAATTATAGAATAGAATAATAGGACAGCTAAATTGGAAGGAACCTTGGAAGTCTTCTGGTCCAACCCCCACTACCATTTCTGACAAATTGATGTCCAATCTTTTCATTCAAACCTCCAGGCTGCATCTTATTTATTATACAAATTACAAGATAAAGGCATGAATTCAAAATCGCAACAGGCAGTAACTTTGAAAAAGCATATTGTTGATGTCAAGCCAAAACTTAAAAGTTAATTTAACTTTGCAGTTATATTCAGTATCTCAAGATGAACCACTTTTCTTTCTTGATTCAATGAATTGGCTGAAGAAACTCAGTTTACACTTACTATATACAGCCTCAGATACATCCTATTTATTCCCCTGCCTGAAAGATTTACTAGGAAAAGTACAGGCTAGCTAATGCTTCAACCTCTGTCAAGAAGATAAAAGAGGTCATCAGGACAACATCAGGCCTGCTATTTTGAGTAGAAAATCAAGCTTGTAGCCCAAACACATTCATTCTCTGTACTATCAGTCTGGGAATTATGTCAGAAATTCAATAGTCTTCAGATGGAAAACACAACGATAAACCCTTATTTTCTTAAAATGAGGTAAAAATAACCTATCCTGTAGTTGAAAATCTGATAATATGGGTAGTTAAGTGTTGATAATCAGTATTAATGTCAGAAAAGGAAGAAAACATAGAATTCTTTCCTATAGGATTCTTAGGACTCATGGTGATATATTGATATTTGAGGGGTCCTTGTGCTATCTGGGCTTGGTTGTTTTCTTCCCCATCACCAGTGCTAGTAAGGAATGGGGTTTGCTCTCTGTTTATATTCTACTGACCTGTCTTATAAATTGAGAACAAACCTCACTCCCATCACTGATGATCTTGTTTAGTTTGAGTAATGTAACATCTGCAAGAAAAAACCAAACTCAGAGAATATCTCAGAGAGCTGTGGTGGTGCAATGGTCAAAATGCAGTACTGCAGGCTATTTCTGCTGACTGCCAGCTGCCTGCAATTTGGCAGCTCAAATCTCACCAGGCTCAAGGTTGACTCAGCCTTCTACCCTTCCAAAGTCGGTAAAAGAAGGGCCCAGATTGTTGGAGGCAACATGCTGACTCTGTAAACCACTTAGAGAGGGCTGTAAAGCACTGTGAAGCAATATATAAGTCTAAGTGCTATTGCTATCAAGGAGCTTTCATTTCAACCCTAAGCTACCAATATTCTCATTTTTTGGTACAGTGATGTTTGTTTGTTTGTTTTGTGGTTTCTTCTTTTTGAAAGAACAGAAACGCTAAAATGCTATCTGTATTTCTATATACTCATTTATTACAACATCAGCTTATATTCTGAGTCAATTCTTCTAGCTTAAATGTACTGTTAATAAACTTTAAAGATATTGCTTATTTTGCCAGAAGAATAGAACAGTTAACACTGCAGTAGAAACTGTGCTGGTGGTAACAATACCATTTTGGTAAGAATTTTTCCAGTAATGTTCCAATAATTAATGAATAACAAACACAATAGATCAAATCTAGGAAAAAGGACTTAAGCAATATTCCACTTTCTTCTCCTTCCCTTATATACAGGGGTGGGATTCTACCAGTTCGCACCTATTTGCTAGAACCAGCTGTTAACCTTCTAAGCAGTTTGGAGATCTGGTTGTTAGAAGAAATTACTGGCCTAATCCTGTAAGGAAGGCAGGAAGGAAACATTCTGGGGTTGCTTTCAGAAACTGCCTCTCCATTAACCCTTATTACATTCTTGGCAGGACTAGACTTCCTGTCTCAGGAACGTCTCTGGAGTTTTTTCCCCTTCCTTTGCTGGTACTTTGTTTGTGTGGAGTGACCATTCAAAGTTACAATGGCACTGAAAAAAGTGACTTATGACCATTTTTCACACTTACGACTGTTGAAGCATCCCCACAGTCATGAGAAGCCAGGCGAGGAGATGTGTGCCTCGATGTGAGTGATATTGAATTGGCCACGCCCAGCCAATAACATGACCACCAAGCCATGTCCACCTGGTCACATGACCACTAAGCCATGCCCACAGAACCGGTTGTTAAAAAAAAATGGAATCCCACCCCTGCTTATATAGCTTTTTTATATTTCGGAATTTTAATGGTGTAAGCTGCCCAGAATCAATTTCAGTGAGATGTGTGGCCATATAAATGTAATTAATAAGTAAGTAAGCAAGCAAATGAATAAATACTGATTGCCATACTAATTGCATGGTCTATCAAGCTATTAGGAAGACTTTTTAAAAAGAAACCTAGAGAGAGATTAATAAATACATTTGAAAAATAATACTGTAAGATAAAAAACATGTCCACTAAACTGAACTTTGAACATCCACATGTTTTTCAAAAGATTTGCATAATTCTTATGGTCCCAGCTTCCCTTTTTTTTCAAGTATCAGGTAGATTTACTCAAACTTTTTGTCATGCAACAACAAATATATGTGCTAAGCAGTATATTTGTTTATCTGTGCATGCAATCTCAATAATACCATCCCACAAAGTGCATCATATTCTGCTTACCTGTATCCACTTCTTTTCCTCAAGCAGCTGGTCCCGTTTTGTATCTGGAATCTGTATCTTTTCATGGTAAGGAAGGTTTGATATCTTCTGATCACTTTTTTCAAGGAGAAGATTCCTTTCCCTATTACAGCATTCATAAATATTAATGGATATACATAATGAATTTTGTTACAATTTTCCCCCAATCTGGTGACTTCCCAAATGTATTGGACTACAATGATCAGAAACTAAGGATCAGAAACTCAACATACAGTCCAATATATCTGTAGAATGCCAGGATGGTTTAGTAGAGAAAACTCCCTATCCACATAATGATACTTCATTTATTGAATATACAAAATCAGACCAAGGTTGAACATGTATGTATTTTATAGTACTTCAGCAGTCGGCTGCTGTAAATTGCTTTAGGAGTTGGACAAAAGATGCCATTCCCCTGATTAAAATACAATATCTAAGGAGTTTCTAGGTGGAGAAAACTTATTGCTTCTTAAATCATGGCACGATGCCATGTTGTATGTGCCAATGGTTTGTTCTGTAGAAAAAAGTAAAAGTCTTTGATCAATAGTAAGGGTACAGAGCTTTTTGAAATAGCTTTAAACATGTTTAATCAATTTTGTGATATTTCTGTGTAGATGATCAATGTCCTAATTGCACAGTAAGATACAGTTGCCTCTTTTAATTGAAGGAAAATCCATTGTGCCAATAAATCTTTTCTCACACTAGACTATTAGTTTCATTCAGTGCAGCCAGATAAATAATTTAATCGTTCTTTATGCTGTTTGGTAGCATGATTACACTTTCTATTCTCACTTATTGGACAAAATATTCCACTTATACTAAATATCCATGTCTTTGAATATACTATTCTAAAAACCAATACACAGAGGCCTGAAAAGAACAAAAATCACTCCAAATACAATTCATAATTAATCACATGATTCAACCAATCTGCCAACAGTTGGATACATCCAGTAATCTTTCAGTCAGGCTTGGAGATCAGGACTCCTTGTCTGGTACACAAGGAGGCCATCTTACATACATTTGTCCTACTCCAATTTTCTTAATATTTAAGGAAGCCCTGCTTATATATAATCTTCATATCAATAAGTAACAAAATATTTACGGGTAGCCAACACATTTAAAAAATAGAGATATAAACTCAGAGGCAGATTCACAGGTTTCGGACATTTTCCCAGTGACCAAATACAGGTAGTCCTTGACTTACAACAGTTTGTTTAGTGACCATTCGAAGTTACAATGGCACTGAAAAAAGTGACTTACGATCATTTTTCACTGCAACCACCTTTGCAGCATCCCCATGATTGTGTGATCAAAATTTAGATGCTTGGCAACTGGTTCATATTTATGACCGTTGCGGTGTCCAGGTTACTAATTGCAGTAATTCACTTAACAACTGAGGCAAAAAAGGTTGTAAAATGGGGCAAAATTCAATTAACAAATATCTCACTTAACAACAGAAATTTTGGGCTCAATTGTGGTTGTGAGTCAAGGACTACCCATATTTCATGGTCATGACAACAAAAATTGTTTTTTTCTTAGGGAAACAAATAGAGATTTTCAATCCTCATATTTTTCTTACAATGTTATTGCCAATAAAACAAATAATAATTACCAAAGAAAAGTTACATGAATAAACTTAACCTGTGCTTGCTCAGCTCAAACTAGCGAGGCACCATTATCTCTTCATCAGAATTGCCCAGATTTTTCTGGGAATATTTGAAAGTTTTTCAAAGAGTAAATTAGGATGCAATACATGCATATGATTTCCAGAGTACTTTTTAAAAATTGTTATCAATTTTGCAGCTAAGTGGTCTTCTATTTCTTCAGTATTTACTCCAACAATCCTATGCTTCGACAAATTACTTAGGAAATTTGTATGGAAACTAATCAGCTGGAGAAAAGTCTTCAGCTTAAGGATTCCTGATGTCAATGCCTCCTTTGCCAATAGCCTACCAGACAGCAAATCCAGCAGAAGGATGGATACAATGAAAAATGTGTGGATGCTTGCTATTTTCAGCACAACTATTAATTTTTCAGAGAGAGGCAGGGAAAGCTACATGAGTTGTAATGGACTGCAATGTTATCATTTCTGGCGCAGGTGGTTAAGGAGAAGTACAATAAATTAAATAAATTCGGGATTTTGCTATGGATACTAATCTAAAAATTACTCTAAAGCAGTTTTCCACAAGTGACAGAAATGCAATTCTTAGATTTTCCGGATGGTAATTATGGAAGCTATAGCCTTAAAAAAAATGTTTGGCAACTGATTGAAGAAGACAGCTATTCAGATTAAATTTTGTAACTATTTATACATTGGTAAATTGGTAAAAATACAATCCATTGGTATGCTCTATTGTGCAAGCCAATTTCAAATCTCTTGGACTTGCACATATATTCCAATAAAGATTGCCAGTAAACTTTTTCCCACTGGACTGTGCTCCCAAACAGTTATTATCATCAAATGCTTAGCATTTACACAAAACCTGTACACTATTCAAAACAGATCACCTACATTAACACTCAAGAAAAGGGTTAACCCTTTATGATAGAAGGAAAAATTAAGGTGAATGTTGCACTTTGCTTTGAAGCATTTTATGGCAAGATCTTAGTTCCTGCTCAGATTCTTATATACGCACTGCACTAACAGAATAACAGAGTTGGAAGGGACCTTGGAGGTCTTCTAGTGCAACCCCCTGCTCAGGCAAGAAACCCTATACCATTTCAGACAAATGGTTGCCCAATCTCTTCTTTAAAACTTCCAGTGTTGAGCATCCATAACTTCTGGAGGCAAGTTGTTTCACTGCTTAATTGCTCTAACTGTCAGGAAATTTCTCCTTAGCTCTAAGTTGCTTCTCTCCTTGATTAGTTTCCATCCATTGCTTTTTGACCTACCCTCAGGTACTTTAGAGAATAGCTTGACTCCCTCTTCTTTGTGGCAACCCCTAAGATATTGGAACACGGTTACATATTAACCCTAGCGCTTCTTTTCATTAAACTAGACATACCCAATTTCAGCAACTGTTCTTTATGTGATCTAGCTTCCAGCCCCTAATCATCTTTGTTGCTCTTCACTGCACTCTTTCTAGAATCTCAACATCTTTTTTTACATCGTGATGACCAAAACTGGATGCGGTGTGGTCTTACCAAGGCATTATAAAGTGGAATTAACACTAACACTCAATTTATTTGCATGTAAGTACAGGACAGCACACACAAACATTGTGTGGAAAGGCAGCAGGTTCTTGCACACTTACCTATGAGCCCCATCATACAATGTCATTTGAGAGTAGACTCTGAATTTCTCCAAAAAGCTGCTAATGGAAGGATGCTGTGAAGGAAGCTGAAAATTCAACAAACTTTTCTCTTTATGCAGCTCCTCAAGTCTTCTTCTAAATTTCTCAGCTAGGAAAACAAGAGAGAATTGTGTTATCAAATGCTATATAGTATGTTACAATTTGTCTGAAATCAAATGACAACGCGATATTAGATATGCAGAAAACATTTATTTGTGAAATATTTTAACTGATTTTATTTTTTTAATGGATACAATTTTTAAAAACAGAGCTGAAAAATATCTGTTGACAGACTTGACACCCTAGACTTAATGTTACTTAATTTCCTGATTCCAGCAATCACCTTCAACTATAGGATTACTTTTGTATATCACAACTCATCGTAACTTTCTATGGTGAAATGTGAAAAACACATCATCATTGATTCAATATTATTATTAGCAAATGTTCTTTAAAACAAGATTTCTTGAAAAATATTGCTGTTGAAAACCAGTAATTCCACTTATATGTAGGCCTAACATACATGTTTATCAGTATTTTTGCTGTAAATCTAAGTCCTCCTTTGTCTATTCAGACATCTGATAACCCTAATCATACCTCCATAATCACTTCACTCTTGACAGATTTTCACTAGCAAATTCTGAGGTTAAATGTATAGTGATGCTAATTAAGCAACAGCCATAGGAAAGGGGACAGATTCTTCCTAAGATCCCCAGAACGGCCCAGGGGCAGAGAGAGGAAGGCTGCTATTGGACCTCACACTTCAGGTCTCTAAAACCTGAACACAACATGACCTTCAGGCCAGGCATAGAGGAAAGAGAGAGCAAAGACTCCACATCACACTTTCTTTTCTTTTCTTTTCTTTTCTTTTTTGCAGAGGGTAAGATAAGAAACAGAATGTTAAGACTTTTCAGCTTCTGCCCTCGCATTGCCCAAGATTTCCCAAAACAATAACCAGCAATTGTGATCTGTGGCCTTGTTATATTTAGTGCTATTTTCAGAATTTTGTGTCAGCAGGCCAACATTCTTCTAATTTGGTGCTTTTAAGAAAGGTTGCCCTAGAAGCCCCATGATGGTCATTCTGGCTTGAGAATCTGGCTTGAGAATATATATAGACCATATCAGACTGAGGAAGGCTCAATCTAGAATAGATCAAAACTCTATTCTATTTATTACTGTATAAAGTTTTAAAAGTTTGATTCATTCTGTAACTGCATTCAACAGCTGCCAAAATTCATTTGAAGTGTTTTCAGCACTAATCTCAACACATACTCTATGCAAGTTAATTTTAAATTCCTCCTTAAAATGCTTATAATTTAGATTATCACTTACACTGAATTTACTTTTGAGGACCTTTAAGAGCTTGATCAAAGGGCAAACCTGAAAACAATTATTACTTCTTCATCGAATTAAAAAAGACATTTTTTTTCATTAATAACTTACAATTTAGAAAGTGTCATTTTCTTCTTTTACTTGTATTATAATTTTATACAGAGCATTTGAATATGCACTCTTCAAAGTAAAATTTAATACTTGTTTTGTCTAAGTGACAAAAAATCCTCAATGCTTTCATCACTTACAAGCACAATCAAGTTTTTCATTCTGTTTAATATATGCTTATCCTCTCAGCTGTGCAAATACACTCAGATTTACTATTATTATTACATTTTAGAAGGAAAATCTGCCCAGGTGCTAAGGAGAAATGAAAATATAATCTGAACTAAGATTTATCCAGACGGAAAATCATAGGCTTGCGAACATTTTCATTAGAGACAAGAAATATCTCCATGAAATTGAAAATAATTAAGATTAACTGATCTAGGTACAGAAATTTGATGAACACTAGTTGGTAGCAAAGTATTTTCTATTCTCTTTACTGCTATCTAGTTGCCACTGCTATTTTTGCAGGCCTGATCTGTCAATCTAGAGAAACCATTAAAAGAATACAACAGATTTCAGACTGATAACTATAGAAAACTCATAAGAAATCTTCATTTTCCAGAGCAAAAGTGTGGTTGTAGGGATCTGCACATTTTATTGTGAGCACTTTCCCTCCCATAAACAAAATAAACCCAAATATTTCCTCCTGACAATGAATGATGTTAAATTAAAGTCTTAGCCTGGAAAAACCAATCAAGAATTCAGAAAAAAACAATAAGCTACATAAAAGGTAAAAAGAAGAGATTTTCCCAGATTCCTCTTGAAAGCAAGTGGTCCAGAAATATTTATGGAAAAATATACTGTCCTATTAAAATAGCTTTTGCAGAACTAACAATTTAAGGTTTATTAGGTTAACTTAATCTCTTAGAAGACAATTACTGTCTGTCCTAATCAAAATAAGGGCACCATAAGACTCTAGTGAGGTTCAAGTCACAGAGTTAAACTTCTCTTGGGTGACAACTATCCTTTTGCCTATCTTACCTCATAGAACTGCTATGAAGATAAGATGGGAAATTTTTGAGGGGTCCTTGGTGCTCTGTGAGCCTGATTGTTTTCTTGCAGACCTAGTTTCATTACCCAAACTAAATAACATCATCAGGGATAGTGTTACCTAGTTTGGATAATGAAATGTCTGCAAGAAAACAACCAAGCTCACAGAGCACCAAAGAACCTTCATTTCAACCCTGAGCTCTAAATATTCTCCTTCATGGGGAAAATTTGCTTTCACAGCAATTATGGAAGCCCCAACAATTATGCCAACCACCTTGAGCTCCTGGAAAAAAGATGGCCATGAATAAAAGAGCAAATGTGACTGCTTCTCTAGCCCTGGAACACAGCAAATCTGTTAGCAGTCAGGAATCAGTTCTTCTCAGGACTGGTTTGCACTGAGTGCTGTTTCTTGAAGCTCTACAATGAGCAAAATATATTTTTTAATGTATCTAAAAGCTACTTGGGACAAAACAAAACAAGTTGCCATAGTCTAAAAAGGCCGAGATTGGTAACAATGGTACAATAAAGCAGATAACTTTGATTGACTTATTGATTATAGTTCAAGAATTGTTGACTCTTAGCACACATACAGTAGATAGATTTTCTCCAAGCAATCTGTCCCTAACTTGATTCTTCCAGATCTTCCAGTGGTGCACCCATTGCTAAATGAGGGGACAACCTCATTCTGCATTTAATAACAAAAAAGCTTGTTCCCAAATCAAACCAACATCGTAAAGCCATATGAGCTTACCATAGATTCAGAAGAATGGTCTGGGAATGTGACTCACCTCCACTAGCATCCTGAACAATACCATAAGCTATACTGGCAACCAGTTACTGAGCTTCAGTTTAAAAACAGAAATATCTTACTAATTAAAATAAAATATCTTCAGCTAATGTATCCAGTGGTCACTTCTGTGCCATCAGCCATCTTATCACGACCAATACATGAAAAGACTGCCATTTCAACAAAAGCATCCTTCCAAACAATAAATGTCTGTCAGTTTATTGCTCTGTCAAATCTGTCAAATGTGCCTTTTTTTTTTTGCGCTCCAGGACAAGATGACACATTATGTAAAGGTCAAGTGGAAAAAAGTCTTTTCAACAATGCCACCATCCTTCCTTCCTAAGTGTTGTTGCACCTAATAATTGTTGCTTAAAAAAACAAAGGTTTACAAGACTAGGAAATTATGCACCATTTTTTTCCTTCATCTCAATTTTTTTTTTTGAGGAACAATCAACATTCTGATCCAGATTTCTTTTCCATATTTTTAAAAATACCATGGTTTATTTTTCTTTCTTTTATAATTAATATTAATATTAATATATAGAGACATTAATATAAATATTATATATTTCTTTTATATTTAAAACCATATGATGATAAGGGCAATGAACATGTTATTATTTTTTAATGTTATATTACCCTAGAAAAGATTAATGTTTATTTCCAAATAAAAATATGTATCAAAGCAAAAAAAAAATTCCTAATCAAGATAGAGATAGAAGAATTCAGTGAAGAAAACTACACATTTCAAATCTGCCTTGTTTTAAGTGTTGAAAAATCTCTTTCATTTGACTTTTGATCTTACTACTTTGTAGAAATAATTCTGAGATTAAAAAAATGTTGGAGAGAAAACAAATTGTAATGGTATGCTTCATAATCGAGGTTAATATCCATGATCCCATAAATCCCAAATACAAAATTACCACTCTGCACCACTATATGGTTTAATCAAACAGACAAGAGATTGTCCATATTTATTTATTTTTATTTATTTTATTTGTCAAGCAAGTATTAGATAAGTATTAGGTATAAGTATAAACATAGTTATGAATACATGAAATGGATACGAATAAAAAGAAACATTAGGACAGGGACGTTGGCACATTGGTGCACTTATGCATGCCCCCTACAGACCTCTTAGGAAAGGGGTGAGGTCAACAGTAGACAGTATAAGGTTAAAGTTTTTGAGGTTTGGGGAAGAAACCACAGAGTCAGGTAGGGTATTTCAGACATTGACCACTCTGTTGCTGAAGTCATATTTCCTGCAATCAAGTTTGGTGCGGTTTACCTTGAGTTTGTATCTATTGTGTGTTCTTGTATTGTTGTGGTTGAAGCTGAAGTATTCATTGACAGGTAGGGCATTGCAATTGAAAATTTTATGTACTACACTTAAGTTGGACTGAAGGTGGCATAGTTCTAGGTTGTCTAGGTCTAAAATTTCAAGTCTGGTGGCATAAGGTATTTTGCTATGAATAGAGGAGTGAAGAACTCTTCTCATGAAATATTTCTGGACTTCCTCGACTGTATTAATATCCAATATGTAGTGCGAATTCCAGACTGATGAGCTGTATTCAAGTATTGGTCTAGCAAATGTTTTGTATGCTCGAGTCTAGTTAGTAGTGCTATATTACCGGGGGGGGGGGGGGGAAGCTATGCAGGATTAGGTTAACAACTCTTAATGCCTTTTTGGCATTTATATCAATAAACAGGGATATTTCCCTAAAGCCATCAACATATGAAGGCAACATTGGATCAACAACATATATCATTATAGGAGGTATTCTTACATCTTCAAAGAATACCATTTACAGCGACTGCAGTTTGCTGTTAAACTGAAACTGATCTGATACATTTTCTATCCTCTGAAAGAGCTGTGATTTAAACAGATAAGT